CTTAACGGGTACGAGGTTTCCTTTGGGGGCCATGAAAATTTCAGGAACTAGACAGCAGTGATGGTTGAACAACATGAATGTATTAAAAGCCACTGAGTCGCACACTCTGGTTAAAACGGTGCATTTTATGTGATGTGAATTTTACCGCAATATTCTTCTAAAAGGAAATGGCAGTGAAGGCTGTGCAATGGCCCCGGGTCCTGGTGCCGAGGGCGGCTGTTTAAATCTGGCCCCAGCCTCGTCCCGGGCTCACCCCCAGCCCCGCCTCCCACCGCTCGGGGCCGACTCCCATCCGACTGTGCGGACCTGCCTGCCCACCCATAGGGTCTCCCGGCTGCTAGACAAAGACCCTTTTTCTCGAAGGTCCGGAGGAGCTGAGGGGCACCGTGGATGCATAAACACGGGCAGGAAGGCAGGCTGCCTGAAAGCTTCCAAAAGCCCCTTTCTGACAAGTGAGAAATGTTGGTGACTTGAAGTCACAGGCCAGCCTTTTAACAACCCTCGGCGTATTTATTTAACCCAGCAAATGCGTTTATTAGCTGGGCCGCCTCCTTTGTAGAGCAGGTAATGGATTCCCCATATGGTTCTGCTTTGCGGGCCGGGCCCGGTGGCCAACACCTCGCCCCCTCCGGCCCGCGAGGCGAGGGCCGCGCTGCGCCGCTTTACTGCGGCCCCTCGCGAGCGTAATTACAGCCCTTCCCAGAGAGGAGGAAATCCCGGCCCCGGCCCTAACTAGCCAGCCCCGCTACCAAAGGGCATGTCTGGGCGGGGGAGGAGGGGCAATAAAGCTTTCACGTTATTAACTTTTTCCTTCTGAAAAGAAGCCTGAAAAATACCATCGCACCACATTAAAGGGCTTACGTGAGAGCTGCCACCGCCTAATGAGGGGCTGGGACCCTGGGCCACATGCGAGGGCTCCCAGGGCCCCTCGGAGCGGAACCTTGATGTTCTGCCAGCCCCGGGGACACAGGTATGAGGGCCGGGCTGAGGTCTGCACCTGACGTGGGGACTTGGGCCCAGACGGGCAGGGAGCCACGCAGGGTGGACCGAGGCTGAGCCTTCGCCTCTCTGCCCGGGCCCCAGGGTCACACTGGTTCCTTCCCTCAGGGGCCTCAGGATGCCACGCGGGGGGTGGCCTGGAAGGGGGCCAGTGCCATCAGAATGGCCAGTGTGAGAGCAGGTGTGCACAGCACGGAGCAGCAAGACTGCAGGTGTGATGGATGTGTCTGGGCTGAGGCCCCCCAGAGAGCTCGATGTGGGGGCCGGAACCCCCAGGGTGAACTGTAGTGTCACCGAAGATGCCTCCCACAGCCTTTTCCCTGACCCCAGCCACCGGCCAATGGAAGGATTTTTAACCGTTTCGATTTGTTTTGACGCTTTGACAGTGGGTGAAGTTTCCTCCCTGGGTGTTCAGCTAAGCTCAGTGGTCACGTGGATCCGTTATGGGAAAGACTCAGGGGCAGTAGCGATGACAGCCAGGGGTGGCACTGAGGCCTCGTCTCGCAGGTCTCATGACCCTGAGTGGTTGGCTCCGAGTCCCCTCGTCTACGCGGCAAGGCTGTGTGCTGTGGAGGCGCTGGGGGGGCGGAGCAGAAGTCAGCTCCCAGGATGACAGTCTCCCACTCAGCCTCTCCCACGCCCTCCCGCTGGCCGAAGGGCTCGGCCGGCACTGGGCGAGAAGAGGAGCCGGGCCCAGCCCTGGGTTTGAAGGATGGAGAACAGCGTCTGTCTAGACCCTAGAATTTACCTCTTGCTGCAGGTCTTCCTCTGGTCGGTCCTCTGATCTGTTGGACCGTTTTGCGGGCATCCTGGCAGGTGAGGCCTGGGGAGACTTCACCAGTCCTACTC